TTGATGATTTCTGCAGAAGTTGCTGATAGGAAGAGGCACCGGAAACTTAGAGGCACTTTCTTTGCGAATGCCCTGCACTTTGGTGGGGTACGCTGAAGTCTCTAGGGGTGGTAGCCTTTGAAGAACTGGGCAAGACAGCGGGTGTTAAGATGCAGCAACTGGCTACTTTTGCTGGTTCAATTAGCGGGTGGAGGTTTTAGGGATCCTTAGGGGTATCACAATGCGCCCGCTCAGGGACTAGATGAGCCGATGCGCGGCAGCTCTTTTCAACCAATCACCTTTACGCGCTCATCCACATTAAGCCCTCCACGACCCCTCCAAGTAATTAGTGCTTTTTGGAATTTTATATTTCCTTGTAGATAGAAGAAGGTCCGTTTTACCAGTGTTGATGCTAAGTACTCTGAATTATTGTTCTGTGTGCCTGATTTGCCGAAGAACCAAGGGATTGCCAAACACTTATGGGTTACGATAACCGAAGTGACATTTCATGGTAAAAAAAAATATTCGCAATAATTCGAGCTGCATACAATAGTTTTTGCAGCGCAACAGGTAGAGTCTCCATCGAGCTCACAAGCACACCAATTATGAATGAGTCACTAAATAAAAGAAAATCTCACTGCCTTGAAGGAGTTAGCTTTAACATATTTGTATGTGTAAATTTAAAATTTGCTTAGCATTTTCTATTGTCTATGGTTTTGTTTTCATATAACCTCTACTAGCTTTGTCAACAGTAATACTATTAGCAAGTTTGATGCTAATTTAACTAAATATATTTAAAGACATTTCGCCTATTTGTATTCGTCTGCGTTGAGGTTTCTTCGCTGTAACGGTGTTTGATAGTGCAGTGTCAGTGGTGCTTGGTTACCTTTTGTATATCTAGTAAGCCTCTGAAAACATATATTGTATTTATGCACAAGTATGTATATAAGTAAGTGCAGAACAGTGTACATCGTTTAAAGTACAATAACAACAATACATACTCGTACATACAACACAATGTATTTCATGTCAACAGAGTTGGCGCTGTTCGCATTGAGTAAACACGGAAAATTGATTAGATAAAGGTAATGTAAGTGATGTTGACGACGCGTGGATAGGTAAACATATCTATTTTCATACAATATACGTATGTACATATGTTTGTACTCAACTATCGACGTGATAGTTGGCTTTCAACTCTCCTTCAAATTACGTAAACATGCGAGCTCAAGCATGCGTAAGGTGAAATCATCAAAGAAAAGGTCAGAATGTCAGAGGTGCCAGTTTTCAGAATAGAAAGCGACAAGGAAGTTTGTACTATGTAGCTGGTAAACTGTTGAGTACTTCATATAATTAGTTGGAGAACTTAAAATTATTTTCTCTGAACGCATTAAATTAAATTCAACGGAAACTGACGACTTTAACCAGAGGTCTTTTTTTGTCGAGCTGCTGATCCCAATGTAATTTTAAAAGGCGATGGTAATAAAGAAAATACTTCGTACAGGATTAAACATAATCGCCATTGATTTTAATGTATTCCTTAAGCCTATAGATCCACTTCTAAAAACACTCTTCAAAATCTTGCCTTTTAAGCTTATCAAGTTTATTACTTAATATTTGCCATGGCATTTAAGCCCAAATCATTAGCAATTATTTCTTATGTCAATCGTAAGTCTTCGTCGATTTTGGACTTTACCAGAGCTAAAGTGACGTCATCAGTCGAAGATTTTGGTCAACCTTCTCGAGGATTGTTTTTTTCGGAAGAATGTCCGGTCTGGAATCTTCGGAACCACTTAGAAATATCTTTAAGGACGTTGCAATCGTTCCACATCCAATTTGGCATTCACTGAATATTTGTATTGGCTGTAAATCGCGCCATAACCCGAAGAGAATCACATGGCGTATTTCTATTTGCGTTGATGGTGGAATTTCCTTTGACCTAACCTCAGCTATCTTGCGTTTTCTCATCTCCACTTTGACCGATCATTCTAAAGTTTGAAAGGAAGACTAATAAAGTAATTGCAAAGGTTTTTTTTATTTTTCCAGTTAACAAGCCTTCGCTGAACGAAACCGAGTTCAAACTGTGGTACCTTCAAAGACACTACAATCCTTCCAATTATTAGTTAGCTAGTTAGTTTAATAGGTTGATTGATCAAGCTCTGCAAGGCAATCGAGGAAGAAATTTTCCAGAAAATGACTTTTTCAACTATATATTTAGTCTTTTTTCATCATGTAGCCTAAAAATAAACTTTTATCTAAACTATTAATATTTTAAATTTTTTTTCTTGTATTTCGGAGCAATTTCTCCCAACTTTGAGCTCGCGAATCTATTGTGTAGCAATTTCATCTCTTTTTTTTGCTGTTTGTTATCTACAAACGACTGAAATCTCATCTAATACTTCACCTTTTTCGTATTTCTACACACAATACATCCCTTGACCCAGAATCGCTTTTGTGCATAGGCACTCGTGAATAAATCCATTGTTTGCTTCATTGGTCATTTCGCCTTTTGACATGCTATTTACTTACACATACTTAGTTAGCTACATGCCTTTGATGAAATTTGTAAAGGAGTTTTTTTTAAATAAAAAGCGTAAGAATCTTTTTTCTTTCAAAATTTTAAATTTCTCTTTTATGGCACTGTGTATATATACAAATGTATACATGTGTGTTCCTTATAGCCTATTTCCACCGGACGTTAAATGCATTTTAGCTTAAATGTATTTAAACATCGCATTTAAATGCGGTAAATCCTATGTGTTTGTTGTTGTATAAAAGTGTGTTAACTCACTTTTCAAAGTGAGTTAACTCACTTTCGGCAATTTAACAGAAAATGTTATGTTAACAGTCGATGCTGTCACTACTAATGTAATCATTTCGGAAGTTTCGGTGTATTTCTTGCCAGAGTCGTGTATTTTCGGATTTAATGGGGGACGAGATTTTTATTTTGCATGGTGAAATTTTTTGTGTAAAAATTACTTTTTTGCATTAGTTTTAACATCAAAGCCTATATTAAGTAATTGGCGAAGAGAATGCTTCTCCGCCTTCAAAAAAAAACTATAAGAAAAAAACAAAAAACAATTGTGGAATTTCAAACGATCCCCTCAACATAAAAATATACGTGCCTCTGGTAGCTATCAGCTGATTGCGCAAAATAAATAATTTGAGGGAACAAACAAACAAATATGAAAATGGAAACATGCATAAAAGCATTTTCGTTTCAGCAACGTTTGTCCGTGCAGAAATAATCTGCACTTGCAAGTCTTAAAATTGCAGAAATAGCCAAATAAAATGAATGCGGTCTCTTGAATTCATGATTTCTATAGTTGTGGCAAATTTTGTAAACTGCAAATGTAAACAAAAATCAGCTGTTTGAGTTAACTCACTTTCGGTGGAAACGTTTGACATTTCATTTACTTAACAGAGGCCTTAAATGCATTTAAGTGCTTGGTGGAAATAGGCTATTACAAATGCAAAAACTAAACTATATATTTGTAGTTATTATTTCCTATACACATTGTATTTATGTGTGTTTGTATGTGTATACCCCTATAACTTTCACAGTCACACCTCAAACTATTACAAAAGCTTTAATATTTAAGTGAAAGAACAATCAGCTGAATTAAATATTTAGCCTATTGAACTAAAATGTTTGGGGGTAAAAATATGTTTGCATGTGCACTATATGTAATGTATGAAATGAATAATGATTTGACAGGCTAAAATTAGGGATTTGTATATTCATTTATATGTATATATAACCTCTGATAGATATATATATATATATATATATATAAATTCATATGTATAGATTTAAAGTTATGTGCATACATATACCTACATATATAAATATTCAGTTATGTATATACTTCTTTATACATAGGTAGTCTCGTAATTTTCTGTTATACCTCCAATGATTCTAGGTCAATTTCATTAATCATTCGAGAATTACCAAAAAAAAGTCAATGATTCTGAACCATAAAACAGCCTGAAAAGGCTTCCAGAATTTAGACGAATATTTGTATTGAATAGAAATTTAGATATTTATTACATATGACTTTCATTGTATATACTTAAGATTACTATTTATTTATTATTATTTTTTTTATTCAATTTTATTTATATTTATTTAGTTTTTTATTTTATTTTATTTTTGTAGTTTTTTTTTAATTTAATTTAATTTTATGTTATTTTAATGTATTTTATATTACTTTAATTTATTTAATATTTTTTTATTTTTTATTATATTATATTATATTATTTAATTCTATCTTATTTTTTTATTTTAATTTATTTTATTTCAAATTATTTTGATTTATTTTCTTTTATTTTATATTATTTTAATGTATTTTATTTAACGTAATTCTATTTTTTACTTTAGCTTATTAATTTTATTTTATTTTATTTTTCTTATTTCATTTCCTTTATTTTTTATAGTTCATTTTAATTTAAAATGTTTTAATTTTACTTATTTATTTATTTTATATTTTTTTTTTATTTTTTATGTTATTTTATTACATTTATTAATTTATTTTATTTTATATTATTTTAAATTATTTTATTTTATTTTATTTGATTTTAAATTTTTTCAATTATTTTATTTTATTTGATGTTAATTTATTTTATTTTATTTTGTTTATTTTACTTTGTTTTTAGTTTTATTTTATTTCATTTTATTTCATTTCCTTTTATATTATTTTATTTTAAATTATTTTAATTTAGTTTATTTTTATTTTATATATTATTTTCTTATTTTATTCAATGGTTTTATTTCATTTTATTGTCCTTATTTCAATTTCTCTCAAGATTTATTTTATTTATTTTCGCTCTATTTTAATTTATTTTGTTTCATTTCATTTACTTTTGTTAATTTATTTTTTCACATTTATATATTTGTTTAATTCTTTTTTTTAATAAAATTTAATTTTTTTTTTCATAAATTTGTATTGTAAACCTCTTTCTAAAATAAACTACTTTAAACTCGCTTATTGTGACCTTTTTCGCCTTTTTGCTATTTACAGGGCTACAAAGTCTATTACACGACAAATCCCAATCAACCGGAAGCATCTTGGGACTCACAAATGGTGGACAACAGTGAATTGACAACAATTTCGGAATTGACAATGCATGCCATTTATACAGTGCGTGTGCAGGCATATACCTCAATGGGAGCCGGTCCTATGTCCACGCCAGTGCAAGTGAAGACACAGCAAGGTAAGTAAAAATGGCTAAAAAAGTTAAGTTACTGAATTCAAATTCATTTAATTTTTTTTTTTTGTGTCTACGACATACGAAAAAAGCCTTAAATTTCTTTCAAAACCTTTGATGTAAACCTTTTACCAAATATAATAGACGCTCTTATCGTGAAGCTCACGACCAGCTTTTAGTGAAAAGGTTTTATATAGAAAATTACCTTTTAAAAATAACTGGGGTTTCAATCCAAAATTCCTTGTATCATCTACCTACGTGTATACCATTACCGAAGTTACATTTAAAAATTGTACTCCCAACTTTCCTGCAAGGGCATCATTTCCACTCACACATGAGTACCCATCATTTAGAAATGCATCATGCATTTAGACGCATAAAATATTATATTAAGCCAAGTGCGATGAGCCGCATTTTGGGAGTTGACATGCCATAAAGCGATAATGATGCTTTAATGTGTGTTTTGTAAATGCATTTAATACGATTGCAGCATGCGAGTGAGTGCATATTTAGATATTTATGTGTGTGGGTGTGTGTCTTTAGTGAAAATTTGACTGTGCATGCGTTCGTGCGTACAAGTTAATTGCATGCAATGCACGCAATTTTAGTGTGAGTGCTTTTCGCATGCACGAACGCCTAAAAATATGCATGCATTTCGAAATATTTCAGCGCACAACTGATATACATAAACTATGTATACAATTTTCAGACATTTATATATGTGTATACATATATACCGTGAGTATAAATTTAAATGAAATGAAATGTTACACAGGGTGCCGAGCTATGCAACTAGCCTAGTTTGATACTACAATATAGCACCGCATGACCCCTGAGGTGCCCCAAATATTGCATTAAAATACTTAACATCAACAAGAATGTTGACAACCAACATGTTGGGAGAGCTGAATTTTTGTTGTTATTATTGTGTATACTTGTAATGTGGCTGCTCGGGCAATTGGATGTAATTTTGTTGCTGTTGTTGCTGACTTTTGTATGTTTTTGTTGTTATTATTATTTAAGTCACAGTTTATTGTGATAAACAAGGGATTTTATGTGTGAATATATGTTTGAGCGTGTGTGTGTGTGTGTGTGCTTGTGTATTTTTTTAAGTGCTTTTTCTTTGCAACAGCAGTGTACGGCCTGTACATACATACGTACATAGTTCAGAGTATCTATACTGGTGATTATAACGAAATATACATAACTTGCTTCATTCTTTCAAGGGCTTTAATTTTTTTGCATATAAAATTTTTGAAAATCTAAGAGCAAATAATTTCAGCGATTTAACTTTATTTTAAATTTTTTTGTACTTCATTTAAAATATTAAAAGAAAGAAGTTTTTAAAATTTTTAAATTCAAAATTTAACTTGCCACAATTTGTTAAAAATTAATTAATTAATAAATTATTTTTTTTTCTGTTTGTTAAAATATTTAAAACTTCGGAAAAATTGGTTTCACAATAATTGCTCAACCAACAAAAAAAAAAAAATTTCCTTTCATAATTTTTTGAAGAAAATGTTCATTGAAAAATTGCATTGGAAAAGTTGCATCTCTAAATTTTCAGTTTAAAAATTTTATTTAATATTTTTATGCGAGAAATTTCATGAGGAAATTTTTCGTGTGAAAATGCTCATGATAAAAATTGCATGTGTAAGTTTTGAGATGGAAAATTTTATGTGAAAAGTTTCATGCGAAAAATTTAGTTTTAAGAATAAAAAAAATTTCCTTAAAATTTCTCCAAGAGAAGTTTTTTGGGCAAAGGTTCATGAGAAAAAGTTCATGCGAAAATTGCATTTTAGGGTTTCATATGGGAATTTCATGTGAAAAATTGCATGCAAAAATTGCATTTCAGGGTTTTATATGAGAATTTCATGTGAACAATTTCATGCAAAAATTGCATTTTAGGGTTTCATATGAGAATTTCATGTGAAAAATTTCATGCAAAAATTGCATTTTAGGGTTTTATATGAGAATTTCATGTGAAAAATTTCATGTGAAAAATTTCCTGTGAAAATGTTCATGCAAAAAAAAATAATTAAAAAGAAGTATAAGAGTAAAAATATTAAACGTTGCTTTCGTTTTCTTCTTTCCAGTTATTTGTGCTTAAAGTTTGATTTTTATTTAAAAATCTAAATATCCATGTTGGTATATAAACATTAAATATAATATATGATCAGATTTTGTGTATAAGTTTCATCCAGTTTTTAAATTCTCGCTCTCTCCTCTAATTTTTTTCTTTTTTCATTTGTGACTGTATGCTCTACGTTTTCGCTTTTATTACAATCGGGTATGTCACAAGAGCAGCATTCAGCTACGTGACTTCTAGCAAATTTTCCCACGCCATCATTTCTATGTTGTTCTATGTATAATATATACTATCCTGTTGTTGTTGGCAACTGTGACATGCAACATTTGATGCCTTGTGTTTGCATTCCTATACATGCAAACATGCATACACACATACATACGTTCACAATATATTCTCAATTTCAAATTGCCACCCACCCACAAAGCAACCACTTTACCCTCACCAGTGACCAATCAGCCTCAACTTAGCATACACACACATCGAGCAAATGTCAAAGCATGTATGTATATATGCACACGAGTACGAGTTTATGTATGGGTGTATGTGTATGTGCATGCATGTGCGGTAAATGCGTGTGCATCGTGCTAAAATAGCAAAATTGTATGGAATACACGTGACACTATTAAGCAATTATGTGAGAACATTTTGTAAATTGTTAGGCAGACAAAAAGCTTTTAAAGCTTCATGGTATTTTCGAGGTAAATCGTTGTAGACAGTGCATTTCATATTATCAAAAAATAAAGTAAATTTTCATACTCAGTCAATTTACATGGATATATGTGTATATGTATGTGCATATATTATTTATATAGAAATATTTGTAAGTCCTTTATATACATATGTACATACGCCACAAATCATACAAGTATGTTGCAATGTAAACTGCTTTTGTTCTGCTGAAAATTAAAAAGCACAAGCGCTTGTTTGTATGTAAACAAAATATACTCAGTTCTACTGCATTACAGTTATTTTGGCCCAAAGACATAGTACTTTCTTCTTAATTGTTAAATTTTGTTTATATATGCACATACATACGCCTGAAGTTAGCAAAATGTTTCCATATCAATTCCAATGCAAATTTAGATTTTGAGCTCGAGACGCGAATATTCTGTGTAACAGGGGTGTAGGTATGAAATCGGAATTTTCGTACGGATATCAATACAATAACAAGACACCGTTGACGTGATGTGTCGGCAACTGTATGGACATCTATCGCAACTTATAGACAAATTCCGGTCTTATACTAACATGCCTGGTATTTAGTAGAGTACATGTACAACCTGAAGAACATCCATAAGCTCAGTATGTTCTATACATCAGCCTTCAGCCCAGTATTTCACGGTTTTGGAACCTTCTGTATGTCGCAACTCTGCTCTTTATAGAATTTTCAAATAGTTCCGTTGCAAGCCCACGCCTTAGGGTCTTCATTCTCATTAATACGAGTAATCTTCTCAGTGCTTCAGAGGTTCTTCTTCCTCTTCATTTTAGCCGATTCAACAATCGTCGAATCAAGCGCAATTCGTTTCTTCTCTTCGCTGTTTGGCGGCAGTTGAAAATACGTAGTGAAACTAGGTCGCTTTTTACCTGATCCATTGTGGGTCTGAAGCGCATTCATTCATTTATAGCCGCTGTCCCAAGCTTCACCGTAGAGGTTTTCGCCGTTGTAGTGCGCAAAAGACCATAAAACGTTCACAAAACGTTTTTCTCGAAGGCTTCCAAGCACGACTCATCGGATGTCGATATAGTCCACACTTTTGCATCATATAGTAGGGCACGACTTGCAGAGTTTGGTTTTAGTTCGTCGAGAGAGAACTTAAATTTTTAATTCTGTTTTTGCCGACTGTTTGTTTAATAAAAAGAGATAAATCCTCATTTCCTCGTTCATAAACAGTCACCATTCAGCTCTGCAGCTCACGCAATAAAGGGTCGCCGTGTCAGAAACCGATCAACTAGGAGAGGTCCAATTTTGACTGCTTTTCTGGTGTTGTCCGGCGTCAGTTTACATAGACGTATAATTTTTGCACAGGTTAGAATTTGCAAACCGCAAGTTAAATAATGACTCTCCTCTTCAACTCTCAGTATCTCTAAGTCACGCAAAACGCATTGCGGTCGCTCGCCAGGTGAAAATGTAGACAATCCTCTGCGAACTGGCTCTTGTCGAAAATCAAATGTTTCCGTGACACGTATGGAGTTTGAAATGCCAATCCATAGTTCGCTTTTATCGAGTGCTGATGAGTTCTCTCAGAAAGTAGCAGTACAAGTCGAGTAGAAAATTCTTTAGCTGCCTTCTGTCTGCTATCTACTGTGATGCAGCTTTTCGACGAGGAACTCTCCTTGTGTTTGTTGGAAGACGCTCTTTGTCTTACAGTTGGGTCTGCGTATCTTGACTACTGGAGCAAAATGGAGCAAGTCGTGGTTAGGATGTTGGAGGTTACGGACATCTACAACACCGAAGACATGTCTTTCATCTCACACAACTTAATTGAACCGGAAACTGCCATGCAGCTTATTGCAGGCTCCGAAGAAGTAGATCCATCTCAACCAATTTAGGAAGAATGCTTAGTCAATTGTAGTGCAGATGATACTATTTCTCTCCCACCAGCTTGACGTTAATATCACTAAGTCGATTGCAGCACTTAAACGTTCGTTTCAGACGTTCAAAGGAAGTATGCTAAGTCACATTGAACTTTCTTCAATCGGAGCATGAGCACCTCAGCGATATGATGAAGAGTCTAACTATAATGTGGTAGCCGCAAGTCGTTTATCAACAGAGGGAATGTCAGTACTGTTCTGCTACAAATCCAAAGCAAAAATTATGCTTCTATTTTTGGTCTCTCTATTAAATTTCATAAGAACCCATCACCTTCTGTACTTATACCGTCCGTAGTATGATAAGAATTTCAAATTAGAAAGT